CTTCCTTTATATCAGTTTATTTATTTGGAATGTAAGTAGGAGAATATGGGGGTTTGCACTGTAATGAAAGGGCGGCAGCAGCTCTGACCTTGATGTCCTCTCTGGCCCACACGGCTCGCACTGTCTCCAGGTTCTTGTGTCGGCTGCTCAGCATCACACACATGGTGTCGTGACCCTTCTGGATCTGAGACAGACTCTCCTCCTCGCTCAGGGCTCCGGCTCTGTTGTTGAGTGGCGTCTGAGGAACCGATCGACAGACAGTTTGGTTTTGATCAGGACCCACAGTCAGGTTCATAAATGCTGCAACAGTGATACATTCTTCACATTTGGCCTTTGAACCCCACCACAATGAATTTGATGTGAGTGAATGCCAGACTTTCAGCTGTAATTCAGTGGGTTTGACAAAACTGTGGCAGTAACCATTCAGGAATTACAGCCAAAACTTTGTTCCAGTATTTATGAACCTGACTGTACCCAAGTCACGAAGACAAATGTTTTCTGACTTACAGCTGAAACAGCCTGGTCACAAAGAGCGGGAGTGTTCAGTCTGAAAATGAACTAAAGTTACAACCACAGATATACAACACAACTCCCGCCCATGTGCTACACTGGCTTCATGGCTGAGTTCTGCCTTTTCCATTCTGTCAACATTATTACAAAAATGGACTTTTTGCATTTGTGAATCGATTTAGAACCATAGAAGATATGAATTGTGATTCTAATGCAAAGTTCACACTCACAGGCAGGAAGTCGGCCACATTCAGTCCGATGGGTTCGTTCCTGGTGCTGGGGATGATTTTAACTTGAGGTTTGGTCTTGGCCATGGTGGCGGGTGGCTGAGGGGGAGGGGAGCCGGAGGGGCTAGGGTGCTTCACACAGGAGACCACTGTAGGCTCCACCTTAAGGACAGGAGTGGAGGTGGTCAGCGGAGGAGCCTGCAATACACGACAAGACTACATCAGACTGAAGTACGAGACAAACAGCAGCTCCACACAGAAACACTGCGGCGATGCTGCATCCGCTGACCTGCGGCTTGTCGGGAAAAGGAGAAACCACATCCTTCAGCTGACGGGTGATCGCCAAGATCGTCTCTGTGGAAGAGAAAGGAACAGACCAATTAGCCAACAGCACTGAAATCAATAACGACGATTCCTCCAAACACAACAGGTAATATAACAGTATAAGTATATAAGGTATTTAACATCAGCTCCACCTTTACCAGCTGCAGCATTAAAGTGATGGACACAGTAATATTTCCACCTTCTACTTGATGTTACTGTACATGTACTGTGCCCTAGTCCCTGGTGTGTACATGTCTGCAGCAGCGACGGACTCACCGTCTTCTGGAGGAGCAGGGAAAGGCTCGGACACCCTGGGAGGAGTGCGAGCTGGAAGAGAGGGATCTGTCAGTAATGATCCGTTTCATTTCAAGTCTCACACTTAGACTAATAAACTGTGTTTACAGCCTCAGTGAACAAACATTTAAAAACCTGCTCTGTAAAAACTGCTGTAAAATCAAAATGACAATAAAATTTTGTTTGCTTCATTTTTCAAACTACAAAACAAGTTGCACTGTTTTTGTATAAAATTCTACTGAATAAGTGAAAATATCGAAAGTAGAGCTGTAAGAAAATGACATTAAATCTGAATCTGATCCCTGCTGAGAAACTGAACTGAAATCTGTATAAAATAAAAGCTGCTTCTCAGACTCCACTAGGTTCACCAGCTCGGATTGATGCATGTGTGATGCTGACAGTCGACCTACAGATGGCGTTCCTCGGCTGGAAGATCTCCTTGTAGTCTTCAGCGTTGTGGATTTCAGCTGATGACAGTTTCTCCTCAGCCTCATCCTCACTGGGGCTCCGCCTCTCTCCTTCGGGGCTCCGCCTCTCAGCATCTGGCCTCTGCTTCACCCTGATGACAACACAACATTACTGGGTGACATCACAACCCGTACATTTAACACCGCAGAGTCCTCCTGAGCTGCTGCTGTTCACTGCAGCTGCCGTGTTGGTACGGGGCTCTGTCCACAACTAAAATCATCCAACTCCCTGAATCCACAACCGACCTTCCAGCTGTTTGATTGTTACAGATGTAGAGATGCGTTTATGATACAGGACAGGCAGGTAAACTGTGGCTTTTCATACAAAACACTTTTGGAGATGGTGACAGTGATAGTTCTATATTATTTAAGATGAATTTACTCTGTGTAATCAGTTTATTCTTTGGTTTTACTGCAATGGAAAAGGATAATAAAGAAAATCACCTTTATTTGGCCAAGTATGTTACACACAAGGAATTTGTTTCCAGTACAAAACCGAGGCAGCCATCTGCGGCACCAACTCAACAAATGACTCTAACCATTGGGGGTAACTTGGGGGTTCAGTGTCTTGCCCAAGGACACTTCAACACGCAGA